ATGAGTGTTCACCATGGTGGCACTGGAATAAAGAGAAACTAACACAAAAGTTCAAATTTGATTAATAAAATGGCTGTTCCCCAAAGTGTCCTCCACGGGTTTGACATGAGTGACTGATGTTGGTGTGGAGGAGAAGCAGGCGCTGCTCTCTGGCTGTTCGGTTCGAGATCTCATCGAGAGACCCTGAATCCTCGCCCGTAGTGTCATCATAACAGCAGTGAGACGTCCCAAACGTAGTCAGCAATGAGATGTTAATAATGCTGGTCAGTCAAATCATCCTCTGGGATTCTGTAGCGGTGTTGTAAAGAGTTACGGTGCTCATTAAACCATCTCCTTCCATTAATTTTCATCCCAAATCTTTGCAGCCAACATAAGCCTGCTGTGTGATGTGTGCAATCTGAAAACTGCCACTTTGTGATGTTACAGCAGCCTGACATCTTTAAAGGACACAGGCAGTCTAAAGTGAACAAATTCAAAGTAAACACTTTTTTATAAAATGATGATGCAGTTTGCATTTCTTGTGCATGTTGGGATAAGCTCCAGCCTTCTTAACCCAGAAGAAGCAGGTGAGGAAAATTAAGGAATGGCTGAGTAAGTGTGGACAACCTGAGAAATCAGTTTCCCCTCCAACTAAGCCTCAGAGGACAAGAATGTAATGCAGCTAGACTTGTTAAAGCCATGACCCCTTCAAGCAGTTGGTCACCAACATTTATGATGTAGAGCTGTCAAGAGGCATTCTAAGTTATTATAAACTGTGCTGATCATTAAAACCCATCAGTGTCTCATTTAAATGTCACACAAATGACACCAATATCTTATGAAAATTACTCTAAATCTTACCAAAGTGTGCAGTCATATCATTTTGAGCATTATAAAGAATTTCCTTCTTAAACTGGTTTATTAATTGATGGATTTCCAACCTGCAACCCTGAAGCTTCTGCCTGACATCACATGGTCTTAAATTAGAAGACAGGGGGATGCATTACTCAGCATCATGTCTGCCATCCACTGCTTAAGTCCACAACAAATGAAGCATGGCAACAGATTTACATTGCGGTTGATAACTGCTGTCAGAAATCAGGGTCGGGTGAAATAAATCCTTCCCGCTGATCAGCCTGAGAAATATGAAGCTGTCGCTGGCAGCGCTGGGAAAATGATAAGTGAAAATGTGCAGCATTTAACATGGATGTAATAAACAGTCCTCATTGCAATGACTGTTACTTTCCTGAACAGTTTGCAGTTGACAGCAGACGTTTGTGTTTCATTGTTGGAGTAAATGTTCTCCTTTTGAATTAGTTTATTGGATTATTGACAGAGGGACAGTGATATGTTCTAAAATTGGTCTGATGTGGCACTGAGGATTCTTTACAATGAAGTTCAACAGATTTTATCAAATATTACTGAAAAACAAGAGATAATAGTGGATGACGTCTTATGCATTCATATATCCCATTTCCACAAGTGTATTCGTCTGAATTGTTTTGGTATGTTGTGTTTGTGCCAGTCTTAGTTTGACCACTCAGAGCCACCGTAAATGCAATCATTATCCAAAATGGCATCCGAGTCGGATTCACTTCATTCATTCGTCTCCACCAACATGAACCACTTAACGACTAACCAAAGTAAAGAATACAGAGATGCGGGAATTAAAGACAGATTGGGGATAGATAGTTGCTGAATAAACACATGTGGTCTGTTGTTAGCTAACAACAGTCGTTAGCTAACAGCTGTAAGCTAACTTATGCGAACTGTCTGTTCGGGGCGAATAAACAAACGACCCAGCAGTCAACCTCTACCGAATGAGGCCCGACGACAATAAAAGATTGTTGTGAGAAGGAACATGGCGGGGTTTTTTTAATCGCTATTGTTAAACTTTTTCAACCGTTCTTGTTAGAGGTAAATCAACTCTACCTGTGGATTAGCATCACGAGCACCAAACTAAAGCGACACGCCTAGCATTACAGGCTCATGAACAGTTATCTTGGGGAAAGAAAAAAGATAATGGCGGGTGGACAACGGCTGATAATAAACGCAACACTCGCAATTAATGTAAGATTGTAGAGCTTAATAAACAAATTAATTTAAATAACGCTGCTGCTTGCAGTTAAATAGCTCATGTGTGTGGTGCTAATGGTCATCACTTGTTTCCTAAGCTGTGATAATGTAAACTAACGTACTCGTCTTCTTCCTCAAGTTTTTTGACCGATTGCAATGCCAAACTTTATGTGCATATCGCCACCTACTGGACCACAGCATGTAGAACAGGATCTAGAATATCAGTCTGCAATATACTTTCCAGTGTCAATGCTGGCTATTATATAACTATAAATCCTATAAAATAGTACTATTGTGCTATTATGGTTTTTACTTTAACTGTCTGCCATGTTGCATGTTATGATGATTTTATTTGTCATACACTTGTAGATATGCAGCCTCAATGGATGACATCTGGGAAGAAGAGGAAGGTTATGCAGACCAACTGAGACAACATCTTCTCTGTGCTGAAGCTCTGAGGTAGGATTTTTTAAAAATATAATTACCAGCTGTGTTGTGATTGCTGTGTTTGAATATTGAAAAGCTTACAACATATTTTAAATTCAAGCCTCTTTAGCTTCGTTATAAACTTCTTGAAAATGCATGTAAATGAAGGATATGTTCTGTAATAGACATGAACATTCAGACCTCATTCAGTGTGGTTTACACTTCCTCAGAATGTGATTGTGTCTCATGACCAGAGCTTCAGAATGCACCATTGAGGTAGCTTACTTGTCTTCTTTGTTGGTTGTCAGAGAAAAGATACAAGAGGTGTTGGAAGAGGAGCAATGGGATGCATGGAGACCAGGGTATCGAGGTGAGGAGAGGTGAACTGGAAAAACACTACTGTGTGTATGCAACTGGAAACTGCAATGGTCAAATGATACGATTCTTATATTTAAATGAATGTATGACTGTAATGTCTTTTTTTTGTGTCTACGTCTTCCAGAAAACGCTGGAGGAGCAGCTAGAGAACAACTAGGAGGCTTATCAGAAGCAGCTCAGCTGAGTCAAAGACAAGATCCATGCTGGAAAAAGTCATTGAGTAAGGAAACACGACTGAAGGAAAATATTCTCTCCATACTTTAATAATTGTTTCAGAATTTTATTATTATTTTATAATAATTTATTTATCTGGCATTCTAACCAATTGTATTGATAGTACGTCGTGTAGAATGGACCAGGATAATTACGTAATATGTGTAGAAAACCACTTGCTTATTTTATTTTTTATTTGTATTTTATTTTATTATTTGTTAACTTGGTTACCAAATGAATGAGATGACAGACAGCGAAGTTCTCCATTTAATCATTGTGAGTCATTTAAATGTAAGTAAATGTAAGTCACTTTTAGGTCTTTGTCATCATTACACAATGCACATTGGGCTTCATTCACAAACGGTGCATGAGCACAAATCTGTGCTTAAACCTGCATACCAACGTTTTACGCACAAATCAGGGATTCATCAGTATTTTCTTAACTGAATTTGTTAATAATAATATAATATTGTATGCAAAAAGTCATAAAACAATAATAATAGTGATATATATATATATATATATAGCATAGTATTGTATCCCGTTAAAATAATTGTTTAGTATGCCATAAAATCTGTAGAATGTCAAGAAAACTCATAGCATACGTGTACCATAGAAAAATAATACAGTAAGTCATCGAAAGTCACAGCATAGTATGTCTAACAAACTGTGAGTTTTGAACCCACCCTGGTGCCTTCCAAACGGGGAGCTAAGCAACCATGCCGAGCACATTTCTCGATGTTGTGGTATTCGTATATTCGACTTCCTATTTTAGGTATTAGACCTAAAAGAATCACTGGACATCTTCCAGTCTTCTATTACCATGAGCTGTTTGATCTGAGACATGTAAACAGTGGCAGCTGGCCAATAGAGGGCGCCCCCCCCCCCCTTGAGCCACAAAAAATTAAGAACATTAAAAATAAATTATACAAATTGTCAATATGTGTATTTTTGAAATATGGAATCACCCAGTATTATTTGTAAAATATTATATCTGCGCAAAATGTATGCTTTTCCTCCACGTGCTCTCTGCCTGTCTGCATGTCTCAGCAGCTCTGGGGCGCTGGAGGGAGCGCCCACAGGAGGCGGGTCTATGAAGCAGTTTAGCCAATTGCTGATTCAAGATATGAATGAATGACATACAAGTTAGCCAATCAGCGTCCTCAAATAGATTCACCGATGGACAGAATTCGTTTCGTCCCAAGCTGCGCGTCCTCCTCGGGACTAGTCTCTACCGGCGCCATTTTAACGACATAACAATGGCGAGTGCGAGCACGACTTCTCCAATACCAAACCCTAACTCGGTGAAATCTCTCAAGACCCGTTTGAGAGGAGAACGTTGGCGGAGAAAATACAGGTAAAAGAGTTGGGCCCAGATCAACCTGGCCTCACATTAACACAGCAGACTAGCGACAAAGGGAAGCAGTACACGCGAAGCTTCTCCAGAGACTGGTGCTGGAGGAAGGTTTGGCTAGCTGGGTGCAGTCATGCTGATGCCGTATTTTGCTTCCCATGCTTGCTTCTTAAAACAACGGGGACCGATCCAGCATGGACAGTTACGGGAGTGAGGGACATGAAGCACCTGTCTGAGAAAGTGAAAAAACACGAGAACACCAGGACGCACATGGAGAACTCCGTCAAGCTAGCCATATTGGGCAAAGTGAACATCGCTACCCAGCTGACCGACGGACACAGGATTGCGGTGAGGAAACGCAACGAGGAGGTGGATAGAAACAGGCACATTTTATCCAAAACAATTGATTGTGTAAAGTTTTGTGGGTCTTTTGAGTTGGCCTTGCGTGGGCATGACGAGACTGACTCCTCGGACAACCCTGGCGTTTTCAGGGGATTGGTGGATTGTGTTTCCTCCCTCGACGGAATGCTGCAGGAGCACCTTAAGACAGCTAGCGTGTTTAAAGGCACGTCAAAGACGGTACAAACCGAGCTGTTGGACTGCATGCTGTCGGTTATGAAGGAGTACATTCTGGAGGAAGTAAAGAGGGCTGATTTTATCGCCATTCAAGCAGACGAGACGACTGATATTTCCACCCACTGCCAGCTGGTGCTTGTGCTACGCTACATCGACGCCAACAGTAACGTCCAAGAGCGGTTTTTCGAGCACATTACCATCCAGAACGCAACCGCTGACACCATCGCTTCAGCGCTGATGGAGAGGCTGAGGAACATACTCCCAAACGGACAAAAGGCCAAACTTATCGCCCAAGCTGTAACGAGGGGAGCCACCGGCGGAGTGCAGCGTAAGATATTGGATGTCTACGAAAATGCTCACTACGCCCACTGCTACGCGCATCAGCTGAACCTCATCATGCAGCAGGCAGCATCACACATCCCCACGATCCGCACCTTCTTTTCTGACCTTGGTGGGTTTTCTGCCTTCTTCTCCAGGTCACCCCAGCGAACCACCGTGCTCGACCAAGTGGTCGCGCGTAGACTTCCCAGAGCCTCTACAACACGGTGGAACTTCCACAGTGTAAATACTGTGCACGAGCACAAGGATGACCTCCTGAAGTGTTTCCAGACCATCAGGGACTCTGGGAACTTTGATCCCCTAACTGTCCGAGAGGCAGGGGGCTTTGTGAGGATGCTCGAAGACGAGACTTTCTGTTTTTTCCTGGCATTGTTCCACAAGATCATGCCTAATGTGGACATGCTATCCAACCAGCTGCAGAAGAGGGACATCGACCGCCTCTTCATTGAAGCAGTTGTCCAAAGGTTCACAGACGGCATTCTAACGATCAGGTAAATAACTATATCTACTACTGGCTGATGAAGCTTTTGTTGTTAGAAAAATGAGTCGCTCACTTCCAAGCCTAAATGTGCCTAGTCATCAAAGTGAATGATTATCATAGAGAACATGACAATGATATTGTTTAAATATTTTAAAAGGAAAAAGAAGACTATCAGATTTGTATAATAATGCAGGTAGTTATTAAACAGGCTTATTCAGGTGTCCACCAGGTCGAGTTGTAGAAGAGGCCTAGTTGTTATTGAAGATGGCAAGTTAGCAACTTAACCTTTATTTTTTGGGACAGAGCCTCCATTTCCTCTCCGTGTGGGGACGGTGCATCTGACCAGCAGCACCAGCCCAAAAAGCAACGCAGGATGCTGGGACCAGGAGAACAACAGAGGCTGGCTACAGAGGTACGTTGTGATGTAGTTGTATACGTTATACACTCGCACAGACATGTACCATATGTGTGTATACACAGCCCGAGCGTACGTGGTAATTACAGGAAGTAGTCAAATATTCAGTAACATGGTCGTCTGTCTCCTTGAAGAAGGGAGGACAAGCTGGTAACTGACCGTCTGATACATTTTGATGTTATAATTTCCCATCATCTAAAGTTCTTTGTAAGATTTTACACGCATTGTATTTTTGAATTTTCCATTGTAATTGTTCATGACATATTTCAAAAGAGGATGAATATTCTGTATGTCTTTTATCTGTTTACTTTTTAAACGTATTATTTGCGAGTATCTATAAAACTGATTATGTGGTATGTTATAATATTTAGAAATATTTTCATAAGAATCTCTCGTATTCAGTGAACATTTGCCAGAATCTAACCAATCCCCCGTAGACCTTGTTTTGTTGGGGAAACCAATAAGGAGTTCCAGATCAGGAGAAGTAAACATACCGTAATGTGCAATTAGGAATAATGGTGTTAAAACCTTAGTGGTCATATACTTGACTTGGAAAGTGTTCAATCAGAATCACTTTCATCAAAATAGCCTTATTGCAAATGTAAGCTGATGTGTCTTTTACAGGTATGCGATACCATCCTGATGCATGCCAAGGAGCGGTTCTCCTTCACCCAGCACCTCATCAGTGCAACACTGTTGCATCGAGAGTTGTTCCCACAGCACAGTGTGAGGTTCCCTGACTCAGCGCTTGAAACCACAGTGGAGGCGTACCCCATGTTGAACAAGGCCAAGCTCAAAGCAGAGCTGTCCCTCATCTATGAGAACAGTGAGTTCCAGGCCTGCAGTGGTGCAGTGCCTATGTACCAGTTTTTCATGGAGAACAACCTTCAGAGCACCTTCACAGAGACCGTCAGTCTTCTTAGGATCCTCATCACCACGCCCATGACCACAGCTGAATCCGGGAGGTGTTTCTCTACTTTGAAGAGGATCAAGACCTTCCTGAGAAACACCGTGACACAGGATCGCCTCGATGCTCTGGCTATGCTCTCCATGGAGAAGAAACTTGTCAGGGACATTCCTGACTTCAATAAGAAGGTTATTGAGAGGTTTGCCACTCAGAAGGACAGAAGAGCAAAATTCCTCTACAAGTAATCTGTCAGAAAAACATGTGTATGTATTTTTTGTAGTGTATTATCACCTGAAAATGAGCATTGTTGTGTTTTTCGTTACGTTAGAATAAGCCGTTTATATTCTCATACGCCTTGTTTCTACAGTAGCCCAGGACAGACAAACCAAACGCTGGCTCGAGATAGGGCCGTTCTCCTACAGGCTAGCACTGAATACTGCACACTGCACCTTTTAACCACTCTATCAAGCTTTTGTTTAGGTAGACAGCGGAGCCGGGATTCAGACTTCAGTCGTAGATTTTGTCTTTTCTTGCTGAGCCACTTCTCTGATCAGAAATGAGGTGTTCATTGTTCACATAAACACTTTCACATTCATGTTTTCTTTGTGGATTGAGTCACTGGCCTTCTGTCTAACCTGAGGATGTAAGATTTCATCAAGCTAATCTTAAGCTGATGCTTTTATCCAAATCCACTTCCAATAAGTGCATTAAACCATGTGGATACAACCAAAAACAGAATCATGCAAGCACATCAAATATACGATATACGTACTTCAAATGCAACATTTATTAACAATAAGACACTGTTTTTTTTAATTGGCCCCGGTGCAGGCAGAACAGATGTGTTGACAGTAATGGAAGATGTGTTGAGTTCCTGCTGTCAAAGGGGAGCTCAGGATGCAGCAATAACAATTATTAATTTTATTTAAATAGCACTTTTCTTAATGAGGTTAGAAAATGATTTTCAGAAGAAAAAAGCCAGCAGATACAAGCAAAAACAATAGAAAAAGATAAACTATAAAACAGCGAGAGTTTCAACAGCAAGAAAGGCTGATACCTAAAAGTCTGAAGTGAAAGGATCAAATCCTCTGTGATTTTCTAGCACCATATGCTGATGTGTGTGTGTGAATCAGATCGGCTCAGGATGCTCTGAAGACAAGGTTGTGTGTTTAAACCTCATGTCATGCAGTGATTTTGAGATCTAATGCCAAAAGTAAGAAGTCAAATATAGAAGAGAGTTCTAGGCGGTTGCTAATTTCCCGCGTTGGAAGAGGTGGACTCGGGAGCATGAGACTTGCGTCTTGTCCCGGCGGTTGGGAGAGATGGGGATGGACATGGACTTTTTTTTTTTTTTTAAATAAAAAATAAATAAATTATTTGAATTGTAAATGCAGCAGATACGATTCATCGAGTAGAAAAAGACGTGCATGAAGTGAGCGAAGAAACTTGGTGATCCTCAGATTTGGTCAGGAAACGGCTCATCTGGGGAGAAATAAGAGGACGACATGAGAATTACATCACATTCACATACATCTGTGCCAGTTACTACAAGAACATGTCTTTTATGACATTCCATATCATTGTTTTTACATACTAAACTGTGACTTATTTCTGGCTTTTTGATATAAAATCAACTTTTTCTGTTTTTTTATACAACATACTATACTTTGCTTTTTCTATGAATTTTTCAACACACTACACAAAGAGTTTTGTGTCACTTTATTATGATTTATTTCGAGATACTATACTGTGTCATCTGTTCTGACCTTTTTTGGACATACTATACGATGACTTTTTTGACCTATTATACTATTACATCTTTTAGCATTTGGTTCAACACAATGCTTTGGCTTTCTTTACTTTTTTTAGTATTTTTAACCTATATTATGAGTTTTTTTGACACACTAAACCAACTTTTTCTGACGAAGATGGATGAAATGAGCGGGGGGGGGGGGACCTGCCCCCAGAGACCTGCCTCCATCACTCATCCCGGATCAAGTGGCACTTGGCGGGCGGACAGCAGGACAGAGCGCAGGACTCCTGTGGGACGGGAGGAGGTGGACTCTGTGTTTACGTCATGATGCATCTTGATGGACAATGTTTTCCTCATGTTGAATTTTTAATGTGAAGATGTCGGCCATATTATCTGTCCAGAGAATTGTTTGGGCTACAACTGAATTTCGGTGAATTCCTGTATTGCATAATGACAATAACTTATTCTTGATACCATGAATTACTTTTTTCAACTTGCTATACTATGAGTTGTTTTTTACTATTTTCTACATGCTATACTTTGACTTTTCTGGAAATACTATACTACGGCTTTCATCATCAGTTTCCGAAGTACTATGAATTTTTTTTATACTTTTTTCGACAAACTGTACTATGACTTTTTTAGCATTATTTTTAACCTGCTGTACTATGACTTTCTTTACCTTTTCGACATACTGTACTATGCCATCTTTTATGACTTATTTTTAATATTGTTTTATCTCTGTAGAAGGAAAGAAAGGACAAAGATATTATGTTCTATGTACAGTTAATTATATTTTTAGGAAACTTCCACATTCACAAGAAGAGATAGACTCCAAACCAAACTTTGAGCATAATTATCAAGAACTGGGTCAATATGGCACCACAATAACAAATTAAGAATGTTATGAATGAGTTGGAAACACAGCAACGAAGACTCACATATTACTATAAATACAGTATATTTCCTAGAACAGAGAGGATTAATAGCATACTTATATATATTAATATTTAATAGCATATGTATATTTATATTCTTATACATACTCATATTTTATTTACTTATATGTTTAACTTTGATCATGTACCCCTGCAGCAGTTTTATACAAATTGGTAATGTTGTGTTTTCTTGAATAAAGGGACAAAAGTGAAGATATCAATAAAGACTTTCAACTTGAATATTTCGTTTCTGGAGATGTGTGAGTGAAGTGTTCCCTTATTCTTTGGAGCAGAGCATTTACCTGCTTTGAAAGGAGTTGTCATTCGCCGCAGTCACTGCTGAAGCCTCCTGGTGGCGAGATGATCCGTGATGCATTCGCTGTAGTCTGTCCACAATCAGAGGCTGTGTTGCTGACTGGGCACGTGCGCATTTGTGCAGGTTGTGTTGCACGCGGACACGGGCGGATGATGTCGTTTACAAAACGCGGAGCATTGCGGACCGCAGCGGACACGGTGCTGATCTCAAAGGACACGCACAATGAAGTAACACAGCATTCACTACTCAGTCCATTCAGTCTGTGCGCCATTTCCTCTTCCTCTTCCTCTTCCTCCTTCCTCCTCCTCCTCCTCTTCTTCTTCCTCTACCAATGTTTAGCTGCATACTGCCACCTGCCTGCCGTGTATGCGGAACGGGATCTAGTTTTCCTGTAAAAGTAACGATCTAAAAAATTTAAAAACAAAACCTATATTCTATTAATTCTGTGTTGATTAACCCTCCTGTTATGTTCGTTTCTTAGGTACAGCAATGATGTTCTCACATGTTTAATCATCCAAAAGTTGTCAGAAACCAAAAGAATCCAAATAACTATAGTTTGTCAAATTGACACTTACATCATCTGTGTAATATAAACCTGCAGGGGGGTTGTAAATAAATGATATGAACCATTTCTTTTAATGTTCATTACACTAATTAAAGCAAGCAGAATAAGTTTCATACAGAAAAAGTACTTTAAAATATTTTTTCTAGATTTTCAAACTTTGAAACGGGTCAGTTTGACCCGGAACATAACAGGAGGGTTCATTAAGAAAGGATTTACCCCTCTCTGAGTTTCCCACACCATATCTCCATTTGTTCCTTGTATGCCTTACAAATCCCATTCACGTCCGACCTCTCTCACCCTTTGTTGTAAACTTACCCTTTCATCAATACATTTGACACGGTGCATGAAAATGTGTTCAGTATTATAAACTATGACAATGTGCACGTACATGTGTATTTGCTTTTCTCCATAGAAATAGTGTCTTATTCAAACCTTAACCTGATAGAACCACCTCCTCTCTACTTCTTCTTCTTCCTCTCTGTGTTCTAAATGTCTTTTCAACTTCATGGTATGTTCTGCCTTTAGTGTCCTCATCATACATTTTTAGCCAAAGTTCAGATATTTTCTTTTAGATCCGTGCTTTACCTTCCCCTTCACTAAATGCCTCTATGACTGATGTTGAGTAATCTTTTAGTGATCTCTGAACTCTAATCAAACACTGACAAATGTCTAACAGGTCATCTTACCTAATCGGCTTCATAGTCCGTAAACTTAGAAGAACTGCTGCAGATTCAATACAAAGCACCATCCTATGGTCTCACTTCTTCAACAATCGCTGCCATCGTCTCGCCATACAGACCGATCGTGTATCTGTAACTTTGTTCCTGCACGATCATTTTGGTCTTTTGAGCAGTCACTAAATATCTATAAGTAATTATAAAAACAATTCCTTATATACTGGTTTGCACACTTTCCACCCAATCTGTCTTCAGCTCCATGATAATAAGATCAACCTTAGCCTGAGGAGAACGTTAGTAACATTGTGTTCTTCTGATTTTAGTGCTGTTTTCATCCCCACATCCTTTAAGAGCAATCCAGAAAGCCGATGCAAGTTTGTCCCTTCTGAGCTCTAGTGGGATTTCTCCCAATTCTACCACTACAGCGCTGCTTAGAGGTGATCTCACTGCCACAATGCTGGTCTAAACACTTTGTTTTGAGATTTAGCTGCTACTTAGATTACTTTTTAAACATTTTGTTTCTGGTTTTAGTTCAGCATGTACTTTAAATGTACATCTTTTTGTCAAGCCAAATTCCCAAGTAGTTCAATTGCTTTAATTTTCCATCGGTTGCCCTCATGAATGGAGCTTTTGCTCATCAACCTATCTCTTTTAGTTTAAATCTTCTATTCTATTATCATTGTACTGTTAGAATAGCCTCCCTAATCTTTCTCAGCACACTGGTGTCATCTCTCCCATGATCCACAGAGCTCCGCCATCGGCATATAGTGATGAGCATATCCTTCTATCTATAGATTCATGAAAATTATCATTGACCATGATGTTAAATAACACTGGACTAATGACACATTGAAGGATTCCATTAACTGTTTCAAACAAATCACATAGCTCTGGCCCCACTTTCACCTTCCACCTATGCCCATCTCATTCATTTGAATTAGCAGTCCTTCGAGGCTTATTAAAGGATTTCTCTATTTCATTACTTCCTCGGACAACAGCAAACATAGATCCATCCATCCATCCATCCATCCATTTTCCTCCGCTTATCCGGGGTCGGGTCGCGATGGCAACAGGCCAAGCAGGCTGACCCAGACTTCCCTCACACCAGCAACATGTTCCAGCTCATTCTGGGGGATCCCGAGGTGTTCCCAGGCCAGCTGGGAGATGTAATCTCTCCAGCGTGTTCTGGGTCTTCCCCGGGGTCTCTTCCCAGTTGGACGTGCCTGGAAAACCTCCAGTGGGAGGCGTCCAGGAGGCATCCTAATTAGATGCCCGAACCACCTCAGCTGACTCCTTTCGACGCAAAGGAGTAGCGGCTCGACTCCAAGCTCCCTCCTGATGACCGAGCTCCTTACCCTATCTCTAAGGCTGAGCCCGGCCACCCTACGGAGGAAACTCATTTTGGCCGCTTGTAGCCGCGACCTTGTCCTTTCGGTCACGACCCAGAGTTCGTGACCATAGGTGAGGGTAGGAACGTAGACCGAGTGGTACATTCAGAGCTTTGCCTTCCGGCTCAGCTCCCTCTTCACCAAGACGGCCCGGTGCAGCGCCTGCTTTACTGCTGCAGCCGCACCGATCCGTCTGTCGATCTCCCGCTCCATCTTACCCTCACTTGTGAACAAGACCCCGAGATACTTGAACTCCTTCGCTTGAGGTAGGCACTCCGTCCCCACCTGGAGGGAGCAATCCACCGGTTTCCGGCAGAGCACCATGGCCTTAGATTTGGAGGTGCTAACTCTCATCCCCGCCGCTTCACACTCGGCTGCAAACCGCCCCAGTGAATGCTGGAGGTCACGATCCGAGGAGGCTAACAGGACCACATCATCTACAAACAGCAGAGAGGCGACCCCGAGACCCCCGAACCTGACGTTCTCCACCCCCCGGCTGCGCCTAGATATCCTGTCCATAAAAGTCATGAACAGGACCGGTGACAAAGGGCAGCCCTGGCGGAGGCCAACACCCACCGGGAACATGTCTGACTTATTGCCGAGAATGCGGACACAGCTCCTACTGCAGTCGTACAGAGACCGGATCGCCTGTTGTAATGGGTCCGGCACCCCATACTTCTGCAGCACCCCCCACAAGAACCCCCGAGGGACCCGGTCGAAAGCCTTCTCCAAGTCCACAAAGCACATGTAGACTGGTTGGGCAAACTCCCAGAACCCCTCCAGTAGTCTTGCGAGGGTAAAGAGCTGGTCCACTGTTCCACGGCCGGGACGGAATCCATATTGCTCCTCTTGAATCTGAGGTTCGACAAACAGTCGGAGCCTCCTATCCAGCACCCTGGCATAAGCCTTCCCCGGGAGGCTGAGTAGTGTGATACCCCGGTAATTCGAGCACACTCTCCGGTCCCCCTTTTTGAAAATGGGAACCACCACCCCGGTCTGCCAGTCCATGGGCACTGATCCCGACCCCCATGCGACATTGAAGAGGCGTGTCAGCCAGGACAGCCCAACTATGTCCAGCGCTTTCAGCATCTCGGGGCGGATCTCATCCACCCCCGGCGCCTTGCCACCGAGGAGCTTTTTGACTACCTCAGCGGCCTCTGCCAGGGATATGGGTGAGCCTCCCCCTAGATCTTCAGGCGCTGCCTCCTCTGCAGAGGACATGTTGGTCGGGTTTAGAAGTTCCTCAAAGTGCTCTTTCCACCGCCCGACGATGTCCCCTGTCTGGGTCAGCAGACAGGGGACATCATTTTCTTTAACGTTGGCATTTTCAGGAAAGTGTGTCTGTCTTCAGAAGTTTATATATTTAAAAATAAAAATGTGTGACTGCTCTCATTGAATAGATTCCGTAAAGTGCCTAACACTAACAGTGTATTCTGCTGCAGTATTTATGATTATTTTTAGCTAGTTAACAGCTGTTCTGGATGTAAGTCAAGGGGGTCCAGCCAGCCTTTATGACAGGGCGTGCTGCAGTGTTTGCCACCTTCTTCTGTCTCCAACCTGCACTATCAGGATGAGGTGACTCGGACACTCATTCAGGCTGGTGGGATATATTTCTGTAATGGAATCCCAACACTGCTGAACAGTTCTCTTTTGAAAGTAGTTGTTGATATATTCCAGGTCTGTGTATCATCCGTTTATTTGATTCAATCTTACAAACAAAAGATTGAGTTCATTGCAAGGTCAAAGGGATAATTGGTAAAAAAACAAAAACTAGTTTAATAGGATCTACAGCACATACTGTGTATAGTTTAATGGATGATGGCAATTTTATTTATTTATTTGATATATTTTTACTTTTCATATAGAGCAGGTCTAGACCACCATTCCCCCGGCAACAAGTCACATCCGCTAACTGGAACAATTTGGGTGAAAGTAAATCAACTTGCACTCCGTTACAATATCTTTATTTATTTCTCTACATGTGTGTGTTGTGTGTGTATATCTGTGCAGGGTTGCATGCATACGTGTGTGTGTGTGTGTGTGTGTGTACAGTTTCACATGTGTGAGGCAACTGAACCGTGGTTTAAATCACGTTGGAACAAGAACAATGGAAACCAAACACAAGTGGAATCAATTCACAAGCACAACATCTAGCGTCTCAACAAAGACACACAGCTCAGAGGTTCATGTCATCAGATGAAAAGAAGTGATGGAGGGGAGACCTCCGACGTCCCAATACAAATTAGACCTTGATTTGATTTTAAAAGCATCACTCATACGGCGTGAAAGCACTGGCAACTGTATGGGATCATTTTGCAGCCGGAGGGAAATGCCATGAACAGACCTCCAGCGGAGCTGAAACATCCTTTGATTAAGACTCTTTGCTGAGACAGTCGATGGAATCGTGACCCAAGTTAAAGTGTCAATCACAGCAATGCATGTGGCTTTATATTCCCCCCTGATTTAATCAGTGTTTGATCATTTATGAGAAGACTCATTTTACCTTGTTCACATGGGTATATTACACTGATTGTGACATAAGAAAGACTATTAAACTTTAAGCTCCACTGTGTCATTGAAGTAAAAAACAAAAACAGCTAAATTATAGCAAAGATTTAAATACACACACCCAGAATTTGATAATGTATCATTTTTGAATATCATAGTCATAAGTTTGTAATTACACAGACTTTCACGAAGTTACTATTTAGCCCCAGACCACCCCACCACCCGACCCTCCACCTTCAGGAACCCTACCCCCACCCTTCCTTTTCAGTTCATGATGGTGCAGTTTGAATGACATGCAAGACCAGGCCCACATCGAGTGACGACTCAGTGGACGGCACTCCGCTCTACGACTTCACATCCTGCTTCTTTTTCTGGAATCTCCTGAACTGGGACTGGATGGCCACGGCGGCCTTCTCCGTCTCCGGGTTGTCCATGTCGATGTCAAAGTCCTGGGGGAGGTTGTTCTTGTTCTTCTCATCTGTGGAGAAAGGGGGGATTCACAAATCTCTTGATCATACTCGAACTTCAGCCAACCCTCCATTAGCTATCCCTGCTTATCCTTTAGAGGGTCGTGGGGGGGCTGGAGCCGATCCCAGCTGACATTGGGCCAGAGGTGGGTGCACCCTGGACAGGTTGCCAGTCAGTCACAGGGCTGACATACAAAGAGACATTCCCATTGGCAATGTAGAGTCTCCAATTAACCCAACTTGCATATCTTCCAACTCAAACTTGTTTTATGTTATTTATGATGACAACATTCTTAGCAGACTGCAGATGTCCCTCACATTGCCTATCAGGCACTACTACTCTATGGGTGATTGTCAAATATTTCCCAGTACTGTACTTTGTGTTTAGTGCTAACCAGTAAATATTAGCATGCTAACACATTGAGAAGGTGAACATGATACATTTTCATTCAATTTCCGGCAAAACATCAGCATATTAGCATTCTGACATTAGCATTTAGCTCAAAGCAGTACAGAAGTACAGAATTTGGTCTGCGCTCTCTCAAATGTTTTGTCGTCAATATACTTCCATATTAAAAAAAATGTTATTGCATTTACAAGAGAAAAGACTTGACGGATGAAGAGGAACTGCTTGGTTTGGCAAATGCGCATCCCCGCCTCCGTTAAAGAGCAGCACGGAGCTGCACGGAGCAGCACGGAGCAGCACGGAGCTGCACGGAGCAGCACGGAGCAGCACGGAGCTGCACGGAGCAGCACGGAGCAGCACGGAGCTGCACGGAGCAGCACGGAGCTGCACGGAGCAGCACGGAGCAGCTTCCCTGCAATTTTCTATGGGAACCATTCGGGACTGTGTCCCAAGTGGGTATCTTGCGCTGAGAATTAGTCTGTTCTTTATTTCTTCCTTAATTTTGATCCTTGTCAGGGTAAAAAAAAAGCTTATATTATTGTTTATTCAAAGAGAGGGAACACGCATAAAACATGCAGAGAAAACAGGTTTTATGGGCATTTTTTCTGTTCATTCATTGGGTGACCTCATCCTATCAGATGTAAATGTCATTACAGATGTCTGACATTCAATAAAAGGACAGTACAGAAGCCCACATATCAACAAAGAAGGTTACCTGCTCTCCACAGTCTGAGAGAGAACACATTGGTCTTTTATGACAGGAGACAGACTAATCATCCATTTATAAATAGCAGCAGACTTGTAGTCAAGCTTCTACATATTGATACTGTATAACACCATCCTGTGTGAAGATGGCGAGACAAGCCTCGTTGAAAGGAGAGGAAAAATAACTGCAGATTTAAAGGTTCAATATTACAAAAAAACATTATCATATACAGCAAAAAACAACAACACATCCTTAAGTGCCCAAATAATAAGTGTACAGTGAAGACTGAAGCCAAGTCAGTGCAAACACACAAGCAGATTAAAACAAGTGAAATGGTTTTGGTTTATGCGATGTGACCCAGTGAGGTATTTATTCGAGCAACTCAGTTGTCATGCAGCACAGCACTCTGTGCATGACTGTGCTGACCTCCTGTGTGACGTGAGCGCATAAACAGGGATTTTTCCAAATGGCCTACTTACGTTTGGATGGAACCTTTTGTTGACCTTGAGGCCCTTGGATGACACGTGTGGCAATGAAAATAAATTCATATTTCATGATTGCAGAAGCCACACAAACTCTCTCTGTCTGTCATACACACACACAAACACACACACACACACACACACACACATTCCTTCTCTAAAATTACCCCTGCTCCTCAGTGTCGATGACCTTTACACCACAGAGGGCACATCACAGTTTCAGTAATGTGTCGTGCTGCTGCATGAATGAATCATATTTCCCCAATGAATGATGGAAGTATTTCCATAAGAGGTTTGTGAAAGGTCACGGTCAAATTGGTTCCTGTGGGACTTAAAGCCTCCTAAGATTGTATGGACTGTGATTGATGACGGCCCAGTCTAAAGAGCACTGAGCAACTAAACGGTGAAGTCAAGCAATAAAAAGTGAACCACAGGTTCGACTATGATATATTAACAAACGATGGAAAAATAACAGATTTATTCCCTCAAACTAAGCAATTGTGTCCAATGGAAAAGGGTGAAAAAGTTATTGTTTTTTATACACACATGATGTCCTTTCAGTCAATCCCAACAGGTCATCACAGCTATCCAGTTGACATTAAGAAAAAAGCAACTTTCCATTGAAAAACTTGTGAAACCGATGTGAAGAAAATATTCTCAATATTCATGATGAAGATGTTTGGGGGAAACGTGCGTCCTGTTCTCTTTCTCTAAATAAATTCAAATTCAAAGAGATAAAATATAATATTCTGTGAATTTGCCAGTAAACACAAGTAACTGAGGGTGTATGTATGTAAATGTATGTATGTGTTCAATGTCTTCACTGACAAGGGATCATCATCTCTTTATTTCTTTCCATCTCTCCTTCATAATTTAGGTCTCCGATGTTTAATATCGTGATAATGTGTTGAATAAATATGATATAAATGATGGAAGAAACTTATACAAAGCTTTACAACACTGTTCATTTATTGGAGTGAATTAGAGTTCAGTAACCTTCCTAAACCAAAGAGCAATATAAAGAGTGAAAAAGTGTGTAAATGGGCAAATGTCAAATGAATGCAATTCATGCCTCTATGAAATTCAATTAAGCTGCCTGAAATCCCTCCTGATCACTGTTGAGATGTTTCCCTGCGGACTGAGCCTGAGCTGCAAGACACTTCATCGTCCCAGAAGTTGGGACAAAAATCCATTTCAACACGGGGTCCTAACAGCGTTATCAGCAGCCCCAGAGAGAGGAGAGAGGTGACACGTGGTCTCCAGGTACATAGGGCTGCTTTATGTGCCGGATGGGGCCACGGAGCCATTTAGCAGGCAATGGGCTGCTATTAACCTGCCGCATCCATTGTGTTAGGAGAAGGTTCACTTCAAGGAGTGGAGGTGATTACATTCAGTGATTCCTTCGTGTATTGTATCATATGCTGCCCTGAAACCTAATTTTATGGATGTGCAGGCTGCAGAAAGCACTTACAAGATATACAGTATCCTCTAGCATGGCTGAAACTAGGAGACCAAGTAACAGGACACAACCTGGTAAATGTATATTCATCATAATATTAGTTGTTTTTTTTAAAGCTAAGTTAACTACCGGTAATTCAAGCCAGACAGGAAATGTCCGGCTGATTCAGATTCATCTCATTATAGAAACAGGACTCCAACTTTGCCAGCATGACAGTTCTGCACTTAACACCATTTATGAAATTCAAAGAATCCTGCCAAGTATTTTACCGTTTATAACTCACAGGGTTGGAATTACATTATTATGCCAACAATACTATGGCCATGGCCGAGTGTTTCTCTGTCCTGTGAGTTGCTGCATGGTTCTTATATAAAAAACACAACAGAGATATTCAAATCAATTTCTCTGGCAAATTATCTCTGGTCACACTATGAAATACAGTACATTTTGGAATATTGAGACATTTTAGAAAAAATATGTGTGATACTATTTGAACTAACTGAACAAATGTATTGTTCACAAAATAAGCCGTTCAAGATGCAGAGTCATTTCAGTAGTCGAGTTTCAGTTTAATTGTCAAGTGTTTCTTAAATTAACACAAAATAAATAGTGAATGAGGTGCGTTTCCATCCACTGGTTTGGAGCGAATAAACTGGTGTAGTTTGGTTAGAAGTTAGCCGTAGGCTAGGCTATGCTTTACACATGGTTGCAGTAGAAGAAGTAGAGGTTGTTGACATGTGGTTTGCATAAACTTACAATGCCGATGAACATTTGTGGCGACTGGGTTGGAGATTTTAATGTATACATAATTGTGTCATCTGCGAACAGATGAGTTCTACCATCATCGAGGACTGATGGAAGATGATTTATGATTATAAAAAATAAGTGATTCAAGGATTGTCTCTTACCTTTGAATACTGTCTCTATATCAACTAATGCATGCAATTTATACTGTGATTGATTGTGCTTGTAACTTGACATATAATTCTACTTGTATGAAATATATATATATATATATATATATATATATATATACACTGTATATATTATATTCATACATTCTTATCCATTTCCTCAATAGACTTTGTTATTCAAATCAAATTACAATCAGATGAACTGTAGAATTAGAGTTTTCATTTGAGTTTGTGGGGTTTTGTATTTTATTGCATGATAATCAAAATCATATTTTCCTTAATAACAAAAGGGCAAAACTAGCCAAAGCTTTGTTCTCTTACTATATGTAATCGAGAAGCTGCTTATGCACCTTACAATAAATTGGTAAAAACAAAACATTAGTAATATTCTGTATTTCTGCATACTTGATGAGCATGGTTATAAAATACCTTGGCCAGCAGATGGTTTGCTGTTTCCAGTCATTGCTCCAGATGATTGTCTCTGCAAAGAAAACACAAAACAAATACCCTGTGTCAATAGTAGAATAGTAATAACTTTTTTTCTATTAGATATTTTTCATTTTGATAATATTCCACAAAATGCTCATTTGCAGTAAGTTAAACATTTAGATTCAAAGACATTTCTTATGTTGCCCACAGAGATCCTCTCACTAAACCCAGTCACAGTGAACATATTGCAGGTCGGCCTCTGCTCTGTCTGAGGGGAGCTGGGACGAGATGTGCTGATCTATAATCCATGTTTCTGCTGTAGGGGCACGCTCACTCTGGTGCTGCTTTAACAGCTCCCCAATGCTCCCTGACAGCCCGCTGCTGCTCTGCAACATTACAAGATACACTCAGCCTCCAAATGCAGAGACAAGTGTGTGTGAGAAGGTTTGCTGCAGTTTCACAATTCAGATCTTTACATTTTCCAATTATTCACTTAACATCTGGTGTTTTTCCACATTCATTTTATTATCAATGCAAGAGCAGATATGTGTTGTGTGATTTAATTTAGAGAACATTGTATTTCATTAATTCATCTACCCAGCAAAGACCATCTCTCCATCTCACCGTGCTCCACCTGAATTATTAATCCAATGAACTTCAAATGCCAAAGCAGTTTCAATGCGTGCGACTCAAGTGGGAACAAAGCAAAAATAAAACTGGCATGAGAAACCCGACATCTTCCTCCTGTTTGTCCCCGTGTGCCATCACGAGAGCCGGTGGAAGAGAAACTAGTTGGACAGTGTGACCATCTGTTTTTCTGTTTACGCACGTAACTCAAAGTGAGTCAATGCCGTCAGGATTCCCAGCACCACACAGACTCTCATCCGCTTGATTGTGCTCTGGTATTCAGTGCCACGCACCATACATCATACCTCCACCCACCAGGACACCAGCAAAGCAATCCAGGCGCCCGGGAGCAGAGCGGCAGTCGCATTTGAGTGATTGTCTCGGCGCAATCGAAAGATGCGGCGCAATATCGAGAAATGAAGACAAATGCGATATAAACTGAGATCAATAACCAGCTGCAACTTTTTGTGATTTTTTTTGTTTCTTTGGCTTCATAGCCTTCTCACACTATGAGCATATGGACCATGGCGGTAGGCACCAACAGATATGAGGGGAGCTTATTCCATTTCAAAGAGTTAGACTTCTTTTAAACTATGAAATATTTGCAGAGTTCTTAAGGGGGCTAAAATATCTCCTTGATCACACCATGATGACAAGTGTGTGCTATTTGCGTCTGGTGTTGTTTATAAAAGTATCCTGAGAAGGATGAATTTAAGTCATACCACACTGTTTCTGCAAACCTCAAAAGTTCTGACTTAAAAGCAACAATAATGTATATATTTTCATACTGAGGGAGTGAATCCTTTTCTGCTCTTCTTTTCGCAGCAGAACAGTACTTAGATCATCATCATCATTATTACAACAACCTCCACCCCTCTCTCTCTCGCTCTCTCTCTCTCTTCTCTTTCTGCCTGGATACAGTCGGGGCTTACATAACGGCTCCAGTCCTAATGTGCAATGGGATAACTCTCCTCACATTAGCACATTTCCCCCCACACTATTCCCTTTTTTTCTGCTCAACCGCTCCACTCCGGTGAAGGTTCTATCTCTCTCATGCTTTGCTTTAATGTGCCAGATGAACACAAAGGGAGAACAGTGAGAAGAAAAGGCCATTTGCATGAAACTCATTTGATTGTTTTCAGAAGCAGTGAGTGAATTTTAAATGAGATGTTTGTCGTGGCTCATCTCGGTCTTTGCTCGAGCTTGGGACCGCTTGATTCCCATAACTTATTCACTTCTAGCAGCTGAGGAGGTATCGTCGCTCAGTTTGCCAGCAGCATTGTTAACAAAGGACTCAAAACCTCATGAGAAAATTGTAGTTGAGTGAGTGGGTACAGCCGTGCTAATGTTTGCCCCTCTTTTGGGGGTGATTTTAAATCAAATAACCTGTACGACATCGCAGCTAAATTATGTTTCCTCTTACCAAACACGCACAGCTTCTGAGCCTGAACTCATCACAAACTATCAAAGTAAAAGCTTCGCCGTGTTTGAGGTATTTCCTCCATCGCAGGACGTTTTTTCTTCATACGTTATCTTTGTCTTGTTTTTAAGGCAAGATTATGTAACTTTTCACAGTCTTCTTAAAATAAACCTGCACTTACCGCCTTGTGGTTGTACGCCCCCACTAACCAGTCAAGTTGAAGTTGTATATCAATTCTTGAGTTATGGCAAAAAAAAAATAGATTTTGTGAGGTCACAGTGACCTTTGACCTTTGAGTGTAAAGGGAATACTGCTGTTAAAACGCACCTTATTTGTTTAAAGTATTTGCAAACCAAATGTTATTGCACTTTTGTTCATATAGCAGTACTTTTAAAATAAAACATAACAATTGCACATAACAATGCGTTTAATCGCAATTAATCGCAGAAAAATCATGCGATTAATCGCGATTACAGATTGTAATCGTTGCCCAGCACTAATATATATATATATATATATATATATGTATATATATATAAATGTCAATAATAAAAATAGAATATAACAAATCCCAAAGGGGTTTTGCTGTTTAAGCAGTACTTGGTATGTTAGTTATACTGAATCATCATTGTCAGTTATGGAATCAGTTTGGCAGTGGAGTTGCCTTCAGTGGTGACTGATAGCAACACTGTCAGCTCAGCCAGAATGCACAGTACATTGGTTCCTCGCTAAAAGCCTATTAAAAAAACCCAGAAACAATCATAATCTGATAACTAATGCTAACAGCTATTGACCTTGTCAACAGTGCTTGAAAAAGGCCAAAGTTTGTACTGAATCAAACATTACAGCCTGGACAAGCAACAGACTGAACTCATCACTGGACTCAAGACTCAGAATCAGCACTGAATGTCATGGCCATTTGAACAGTGGTGCGTTTGCTTACTGTTGATGTGAGGGAATGCTGAAGTGCCTTTGAACAGTGAAGAGTTAACTGACTGACATGCACACTCAGGTGCATATGAGCAGTAATGCGACTGCTTACCTTACTACATAGTCAGTGTGTATAATGATTCATATCAGCAAAGGGATTCGTAATCTAGTATTTTTTGTATCAAATCCTTCTTTCTCTTCCTGTGATACATACATAAATGCATCCAACTAAATGTGAACTGCGCTAGCTAACCTCCCTTATCATATAAAACCACACATGACCGTTAGCTTGTGGAAGCCAGCAGAGTGATGATTTAGGTCTAATAATTAATTTCTGCCTTGTCTTACTCCTCCTGATCTTAAGGTGTTAGTGGAGACCAACGGTCCTCTACAGCAGGGGTTCTTAACCTTTTTGACCTCGGGGCTCAACTTTTCAAGTACAAAGTGTCCCGGGGCCCATTCAGATATTAATACTATTAGTTTAACTAATTGATCTCACTCTTGGTTTGATTTGTATTCAATAACTATATTGTTACCTGTTCAACTCCACCCCTATTTTGGAGCAAAACCGCCTAAAATGACATACCCAAATTAAAATGGCTGTAGCTTCTGAACCACTGTGACTATATGCATCAAAAGTGTCAGAAAACCTGTAGGTCATACAGAAACAGAGCAGTGGGCCTTTGGAGTCAGTAAAAATTGAAGATTTATGTCCGCATAAAATAAAAAAAGAATCTTTCAGTATAAATAACTGCCCGTGGCTGTATCTGTACAGGTAAAGGACAGTATAGGGCTGTAACTACACTATCAGTGAACAACGGCCTCAAATTTGAAGAAGATTGGACAAAGTATGACCATTCTACAGTGTGTCTTCCATGAAGAGATCCAGGCGGAGCTCTAAAAGGATATTTGAGACCCAAATGGACACATGGTAACCAAATGATATTCTGACACACTAAAGGTGTTTCTCCCTTTATATTTTGATATTATATTATTTTCCTTTTATTTTTAGCCTTTGCAAATTGCAAAAACTATGTTGCAAAAACTGTCGCTGCCCATCATCGTGTGTGAGTAGCGGACTTGCTGTGCGTAATGGCTGCGACCGAGCACATGATCGAGTATGCGGTAACTCAGTTACGCAAGGTTATACGTTGGGTGACGGCTTATAGAAGTGGGAAATAAGGTTTGTATTATAAGGACTAGTGTTTTCAGAAGCCACTAGCTCCATGGTAACATCCGCTAGCACATTGTCGGGTCTGTAATGTGTCTTTTTCCGTCGAAATGCTGCAAGATCCGACTTGCAGCGGTCATGGCGACTTTGGACAGTGTGAGTTTGGGCTCCTTTTGTGAAAAATCCATCAGAAATGAAAGAAAATCGATGATTTTTTTGCAAAGATGAGGATGTTGGGCATGCTGGGATACCAAACACAGCCATGTTTTGTGACGTAGATTGCGCAAGCAAGCCGTAGGAACGGAAGGGGAGGGGATCGAGGACGCCGGCGTCCTCGCGGAGTTGAACAGGCAAAACCCTTGTCAAATAAATGAGATGATACAATGTGATGATCACAAAGACATTTATTTATCATGTGTATGTAAACCTGCATACACAACAAGAAGCCCACGAGCGTTGGATGTTTCGTCGCTGGGTGTCGCTTTAGTTTCGAAGGCTTCAGTGCTTCGTTTGATAGCATTAGCCCACATTCCACACACTGAGCCCTCGGCTCTGCCTCGTTGCCTCCGTTCACAAAGCCGTACTTAAGAAAGTCAGGATTGTACTTGCGCACACATTTAGACTTTTGGGGGGGGTACACCACTGTTTTCATTTTTTCTTTTTAAAAACGTATCCATAACTTTCGCTACAGGCTAGCGGCTAGCTGAGTGTCTTCTTCTGCTTATTGGAGCTTGTTAAACAACTGACTGACGCATTACCGCCACCAGGTGGTGGGAAGCTATATTGTAACTGAGCGTCTCATATCTCTGGTGTCTTCAATTGATAACCTATGCGGCCCTCGCGGCCCACAGGTGCAAAACTGAAAGTTTTTTGCGGCCCTCTAGGTGGCCGCGGCCCCATGGTTAAGAATCACTGGTCTACAGCTCTGCATCGCTCCATTTTCGGCCAAATCATTTTCAGACCGATGCATGGAATCATCATTGTAGCATCATTGTAGCATATCTGAACTCCTCTCTCTGTCTGCGGACGTCCACCTTTCATTAACCCTCACACTTGCCAGGCTGTGACCTCCACTTCATCACATTCCCGTCTCATTAAAAGGATCACACCTGATACAGGGGCTGGCACAGCCTGCTATCGTGATGATAAGCAACTGGCAAAGGAGCAGGTGCCACAGGAGCTTTTGCTGTATATAATTAGAAATACTGAAGAAACAAAGAAGAAGGAAAAGAAAGTTTATAGCAGTGTTAGAAACACCGCGATTAGAAATGCTTTGTAAAACGCTTTACAAAAGACTTTTAAAAGCGGATCAAATCAGAAGAAGCTAGAGGTAAGAAGAAGCATGAAGAGTTAGGTGAAACTAACCCCAAAAAGAGGTTTGAATGGTGATTTGGAAGATGAGATTTGGTCAGGCTAAGCCTCTCAGGCAGGCCGCTGTGAACTGTCAGAGTGCTGATGGCAGAAGACTCCATTTTTTAATCTACATTTGGGAGCAGTCAGATGGGAGAGACCTACATACTTTTAATCTAGGCTTTGGAGCAGCCAGTAGGAACCTGCCGGGTTCACACAGGGTTAAAGGGTGTGTGTGTAATGACATGCCTGAGCTATCCATGCGCTAAAGCTGCTGTTGTGAAAAAATACCGACATTGTATCGGCCTAAATCCCCCAGTGGAACCACAATAGAACTGTGTCCCATTACAGTACCCTGGAGGTTCCCTCCAAATTAATTTCAGGGGTGACTGGCAGAAAAGCACCTCAGTGCTGCGGATGTGATGAATTGATACCCGACTGTCCCACTGGGAAGCCACCACATAGTCCAGTATTCAGTGAGTGTCAAAATAAATATCATGTTGTTTAGATTTAAGGTCCATATATCAGTCTCCTTCTTAGCTAGAGCAGTGGAGACACATCAACGCACCAACAATCTAAAACATTCACTATCTACACTTTCATCTGACATTAAGAATAATACATTTCATTTGTTCTCACACCTCTTGCTGTTATTTGGGATCACCAAAATGTTCAAACCGTTCATCCATCCTAGCATCCGTTCCTTTCAATACCAGCTTTTGCTGTGCAGTATTAGTACAATCCTAATTCTGCTAAGAGGTAACCCATATGAACACGCTACATGAAACCAATACTGATTTGACTCAGGGTTGAGCTCACTGGACACATCCAGACTACAGTTTACTCTCTGCATTCATCGTAAAAGTGATCATACTATCATGCTTATTAATACTAGACCAGACTGCTACACAAACACACAAACATCAGCACCAATCCAAAGCAACAGACACTCTTTCGGGCCAGCCAAACAGCACGGCTCCTCATTAGGAAGCTGGACGAGGGATGGCAAGTCTCTCATGCCGTCAGTGCCAATAATGTGGCGAGCTACACTGAGCCTCACCCTGGTGTTGCCGGCTGGTGTTTGAGCAGGGCTTGTGCGATGCCGTGTCGTCCCCGAGGATGAACCGCCGTGTGTGCTTGCTCCCGGTCCCATATGCCGGAGACAGCGGGAGCTTGACAAATGGATGGCAATGACGATAATTACATTGCTAATGATGATGTCCTTCTGCACAGTGTATGTGCCACATATGGCTCTGTCTGCCGCGGTTGACTGACGATGTGCAAAGCTTGATAAACACTAGAAATTATGATTTTGTTCTCCCTCGAGCTACTGTTTTTTTAAATGACAGAGAATACAGTATCCTTTTAAATGAAAAAAAACTGAAATAGATGGCATGCTTTTGGCCAGACTATTGCATTTAATAGTTCAATATATTTAGATTAGTTTTCTGTTTTCTGATTTCGAACAGAAACAGCAATACTTGGACTGTTATTGCTGCAGAGTGCATCCATACAAATGAATTACAGCTGACAGATTGTTTTTTGCAGTATCAGGAAAGGCTCAAATGTGCGTCCACAGAGTCAGGATGAGCTGAATTGCTGCCGCTTCTGTCACCGCTTCCTTTTGTGATGCTTATGTGTGTTTATGAAGCACCACGCTGGCACGAAGGGTTGGAGTGAACATGGAGGGAATTGGTGAAATAAATAAATTACCTTCCCAGTGTGTGTGTGTGGGGGGGGAGCTATTTTTGGTTCTTATGGCAGCTCGGGCTCCCCAGAGAGACTCCATGCTGCACTCAGGATCTATTAACAATTTAACGAAGAGACAGCGAAACTAGGTCACAGACAGCTCAACCCAGCATCAGTGTAACTCCTGTGCAGCCTCCCCACCAGCAGACTGAACGCGGGGCGATGATGCCACGATGGTGGACAGTGCCATCTGTCAGTGACTGAAGAGTCAGTGACTGTGCTGTCACTGACTCTTCTGTTAAAACCTAGCTTTGCAAGCAGCTTTTGGAGATGAGCAGCAACTTGCCTTTCTTTTGATGATGTACCACGCTGTATAAGAAACAACGTCACAGTGAGACATTTACAGAGCACTACAACCAAGTTTAAAATAGAACTATTTTTTATAAGTGATTTAAAACATTTGCTAAAACAAAGCCCTTATTCAAACAAGAGGGAAACTCCTTTCGCAATGGACAAAAAAAACAAAAACAGAAACACCCACTAACATCTGGCTTTTGTGTTTAGTGGGAAAGGTTACAAGAATTAATTCCCGAAATAAATTACTCCGCATTAGTCACGGGTATTTATCGGCTCCAGCTCCGATCGGCACTGATGACACCTGGGTGAACGCGCTAATTTCTGCCCCCCTTTTCTGTGTCATCTCAGCCACAAATTCTGTCATTCTCCATACAGTTTGCAATCGAACATCCTTCCAAATTAGTCAGCACCGAGTTAGAAGAGACTAAATAAGTAACGGATATAAAACCAGTAACCAACCTACTGTTTACGAACCCTGTTTTCCACCTGTCTACTCGCAATGGGAAAGGAGTCTATCGCCTATTTTATTTTTTTATAGTTTTTTTCTTTGAATGTCTTTGTCAGTGTGGTGCAGCCAAAAATTCTGAAAAATTAATCAAATTCGGAAGTGCCAAAAACTGCAGTTCCTCAAATGGCCACTTAAGGCTCCCAAAGCGAGTCAATCCTCATAGACTCCCATGTTAAAATCCCAAACTTTACATTATAATTAAACATGTTTACAGCTTGCTACAAAAACGGGTTTGGTCTCTATAGCTAATATCCCCGTTCATGACAACTGTTGAATTTTTTGATATATCGTTAAATTCATATTAAGGCCTCAAGTTATGCATAATTAAGGGAGTGGCCATTTGGAGTGACAGGTGGGTGCCTTCTCAGGTTGCTATCTGCTAACTGTCTGCTCTGCTCTGTCACCCAGGCCTGCCTCCGCTCTTTACCAATCTCTGGATTAGCAGGGACTTCGGCTCTGTCGCACTGCCAAGATGGTGGACATGCGGCGATGTCGGCAACCCACTTTTAGCTTTACAACTGCTCTTCAGAAACTGATCGGGGACGTCAAGAAGAATACGTTCATAAACTGTACAAGAAGTCTACGGCGCAAACGCAGGTGGCTCTGGGAAAACAATGCAGTGTTGCCCGGCAACAAAGTTCAGTTTTTGGCGTCACCCAACGTGACATCATCCTGCAAGACTGTGGCTAAGTAGAGAGCAGGGCCGCCCTTCAATCAGAGGATCGGCGGTTCGATCCCCGGCAAGACACTTAACCCCAACAATTGCTCCCGTAGCTGTGCCTACGGTGTCATAGAATCTGAATTGTAAGTCGCTTTGGATAAGAGCATCTGCTAAATGACTGTAATGTAATCAGTGAAACTCTGCTATCTCTAGCACAGTATTAGCTGTCAACATTTTGCACCAACACCGCTTCCGAATGGACACTGGACTCCAGATCTAAGACTTCTTCTCCTGTGTGAATCCAAGACCCACTTCATTTCCCTACTAATTAACTGTCCACAACAAAGCAGGTCATTCGTTCATCTGCTATGTTAATGTCAACAATATAGAAAAAAATGAAAGCCAATTCCGATTCACTACCAGCCCTTCAGGAAAATATGTCAACTGAAAGTTGGCGTAATGCTGTAAAATGTCTGTCCTTAATTGAAACTGTGTTCCCAGTAAAGAAGAAATATGATGAAAGAGGATGTTTATGTAGCAGTGGGATAATAAGAGTGTCCTCTTCTCGTGCATTGAGACTGTTGTTTTTGACAGAAAAGTTAGAATATGAAAGCTGGCCCGACTTCCTTATTCATCTTTATCTGACGCTGACACATCCACTAATTAAAGTGAGTCAGTTACACCCCAGACTTCAATTAAATTGGTACTATTAATCTTGAAGACAGCTTTGTAGATGAAGAAAAAAATGGGTAAAAAGGAGTGACTACTGGGGGGGGCAATTATAAAGCTCCAGTGACTGATAAAGTTAGCATTGCCATCACTCTCTTTAGCCTGGAAAATGGCAAATGTTTAGATAGTGTAGTAATGCTTACATGCCATAGAGTTTATTATTACCTTTCTAATGGTGACGCTTAAGAGACATATTAAGGCAAAACAAAAAAGAAACAGCTGCATGATACACACCACTAGGTATTAGTGAGATTTGTTGTTGTTTTTGTAGTTTGGGTAAAATGCCCCTTTTAAATCTCAACAGATCTGCTATACCAAGGAGAAACTTCTTTCAATCACCTAAATATGTACAATAGCATCGTTACAGTGTAAGGGAGGCACAGTTTGCCTTCCAGCTGGATTCATTCAAGTGAAACTAATGGCATAGCAGCATGGTTTCCCCATAGAACATTAGCATGCATTAGGCAGAGTATGGCCCTCCCAGCAGCATATATCAAACTGCACAGACCATTCCTTCTCACTATCTGTCACAAAGCAATTGGAAACAATCTGGAGGGTGTAATTAAAAGGGCGAATGAGCAACATCTTTACTGCTCTGCTGCACAAAGTACCTATAATAATCGATCTGCAGATGTTGACAGGGATCAGATCTGGCTCACGTTCCATCCAGGTCCAAAAAACATTCCACTACTGTTGTGTAGCTGCTCGCAGATGACAAGTGGCGCAGCAAACAGATCCAGTGACGAAAACAAAATGCATGGATCAAAAGCCCTCCCTCCCCCCAAGAAATGAGGAGGAGGTTTTCAGGTACGCCACATCCTGTGTTGTTTCCGTTGGATCACCGCTGTAATTAGCTGGCTCACTTGAGTGTGACTTTATCCTTTGTGTCAGTTACAGGCAGTCACAGAGGGGGAGACAGAGGGGGAGGCGAAGCCTGGGTCAGCGGATGAGGAGACATCTTTCTGACTGGTAGATTTAATTTAGTACAGCTTTACAAATCTATTGTTTTAATCCTCATTCAGCCCATGCTAAAGTGCAAAAAGACAGATAATAATCTACAAGAGACATACGGATAATGCACACAAGCACACAAGTTGTATTCCTTTAAGGTGACTATATACTATTGCAGATTGAATCAGTGTATTATGAGGCAGTCTGTGATATGAACAGCTTTATGAGACTTTAAACAATCCCTCTGAGAAATGGTGTGTGACATTTGAACAGCCTGTGAGTTCTACGCAAAAGCTGGTGACGCTACTATAGCACTGATTTTGGCAATTGAGGTGTAATCTGCTGTGGTGTCCTCTTGTGTTGACCGTTCACATCCCACTCCTAAATCACCGATGTTTGTCGTTTTCTCTCCACAAAGCCTGGGGTGTTACAGCGAGGGAAGGCACCGCCAAAGCCCGCTGACTGTTTAGACGGATTACAGATTATTTCAATGTATAATCTCTGTTCATTGTTTAAAACCGGATTAAGGTCAAGTCTACGAGCCTCGCAACAAATCACAGAGAATTTGTGGATTTAAATTGTGTTTACATTTCGGGTCAGTAAGTGAGAAAAGAATCACATTAAAATCCAACGCGCTTCGAATGGTATTTAAACGTTTTACTCCGAAGTTGCAAAGGGCCTTTTTCTCTTCAATCTAATCAGCACTTTGGGCCCGATTGCAATCACTTTGTCAGTCTTCAGTTAGCAAAAAAGGCGTTTTAAGGAAATCCATCCCCGACTGCTTCTCCCCATCTCAGCATGCTGTCCTTTTTTACATTGATCAGCAACTTTGAACACTCTTATCTCATTCATTTGATAAAAAAGGGCTCTAGTCTACTTTGGTTGATGAAACAAATGGCTTTGCCAAGTCGTCACCATAGCCACCGCTCTCACTGTAATTACAATGCGTGGTGGGTGAACACAGCGAGAGACCACTTAAATGTCGATGCACTGATTGAAGGACAGGGTCGCCTGTGGCAGTATTAAAGCGGGCATCCTCGATAATTGCGTTTTCAAGCAGATTTATACAGATGACTAACAACCCAGTCGCCTGAAAATATTGTGCCATTGTTCATCCGTTGAATGTCGACGTTTCTGAACCAGGGGATCAAAGCAGATATGGTTTTGGGTGAGTGGCTAACCTGCAATGGGGTACGGAGGATATCATTACTGTTTGCTGAACATCTCTAAAGTGGAACTGACATATCTTGGCAACCGATTGGCATCTGGCTGGAGCCTCTCCACCGAGTGCCATCTAATTAAAGTTTTGTTGAACAACCTGAGGCTCAAGTAGAGGGGGGAGTAAGTCTCCAGAGGACAACAGCAGGCACTAATGACAGCGTGAATATTCACATCAGATGGGTTGAAAAGATGCTTGTTTTGTTAAATCAAAACAGCACAATATCTCAAAATTGAGGCTGATGTCACAATTATTACACAACTATGAATGATGATCTACTGCAATTCATGCGCAGTATAAGGTGGGAAACTGGGTTGATTTTGAGAAATAGCCACACTAATACTAATATGTGGTGAAATGACAGACTCCGACTCCAAAGCGTTGTGAACGCCTCCGTGTTGTCATAATTTGTGAGATAGGGCAGCAGAGGAATGCTGAATTGTTCATCACTATGGTGACAGTCCACCCATTTAAGCTACCGTCACCACAGGAACCTCAAACTGCTTGATGTTTATGGACGAAGCTGAAGATGAATCAGCCGCAGCAATACCAACCAGAGACTCGGTTATGGCCCAGTATCCTATTATATAACAATTAATTTGGCAATTATATTGATTTGTACAATAGCAACTATAGATATTGTGTTGTTTTAATATGTTATTTCTCTGGTTGGGAAGCAGTTTGGATCGAGTGGATTGCTGTAATAGTGACAGTGAAACATGTCTTTTGGGCTTTTAAAAAAACTGATTATTAATAAAAGAAACGCCTGCTCTTGCCTGAGATGATATTATCAAAGGGCCCCTCGATAAACAAGCTGCTACAAAGAGGCTAAGTCATTCCACAGGATTTGAAAGACAGGCGGCTAGAGGCAATGGAGCCAGATTTCTCAGTTTTTTTAGAGGAAATGCTCCAATCTGGACATCTTTATGATTCTAGAGAAATGTACATCCCCTCTGCTACTTTGTGCGAGTCTGAGTGGAGTTAAGGCGGTGGAGCGTGGAGGGAGACGGAGCCCACCATTGTTTTTTATTTTTATTATTCATTCAGAGCAACGTACTCTTGTCTCCATCACTGACATGAGATGGAACTGAGTTTTGTTATTTTTCATGTGTAATGTCTTATTTATAAGTCCTCATCTGTACAGCAGTACACCAGAGGGTAGGGGAGAAGTCGACGACCTGACTGTGTCCCGAGTGTGTGTGTGTGTGGGTGTGACATCGCAAGTCCGCATTAAAAGATTCATAAGGATTGAAGTGGCAGCTGGTGTTCATAACAGTGCACACACACACACACACTTACACATAAACAACTTGTTTTTATTTCATATTATCGAGGAATATCTCAGCAGTTTTCTACATAATAAAGCTTCAACAGAGGACGACATGCTGCAGCTGAGGAGAGACCACCAGGACTTGGCACCGTACAACATACAGCAGGACCCAGATTCAAAGATGACTTCTACTGCATTTCGTGCTTTTAGTGGGTCCAGCTCCTTGTGGTGAACGAAGACACGATGGGGTCTGATTGGAGCCAGGCTCACTTTGTGACGTTTTATTTCTTAGCAGCAAGCCTACAATAATTCAGTGACTATTGGATGTGTTTGTTGCCCGTGAATCATCTTTAAGGGAAGACTCTCGCTGGGGGTCCTTTCTAATCTCCACTCTACAAGTTGTAATGGCTCGGCCCCCAATGAAATGATGCATGGACTAACTGTGTAGGTCAATACTGCCTCTGCTTCATCTGGCATGTGCTCATGCTGGGCTGAGCTTTAGTTTGAAATGTCACAGTTGAGCCATATTAACCAACAAGGATATATATATCTATAGTCTGTGCAAACGGCACGTGCCCTGGCTGTCATTTCAAGTTTCAGAGTTGACAATTGCCTCTCAGACCTGCTGCCTAAACAAATAAATAAATACAAAAATGTCACTGTCCTTAATTTATTGTTGGCCAGTCAGCAGGAGTGCAACTGCAAATCAGTCTCCATCAGAGTCGTGATTAACAGAGTGATTAATCAACTTGTGCACAGCGTCACGTATGATTTCGCGGTCCGATGGCACGTGCGCGGGAAAACAATATTAATAAAGAAGCCGTTACTCCAAATTCACCCATGCAATACGTGTCACGATTACATACAGGCATGCACACAATTCAACA